GGGGGGGCGGGTGAGCGGGCGGCAGAGCCGCACCGACAGCGGTGAGCGGGGCTGGAGGCTCCCGGTGCCCCCGGCGGGCAGGTGCGCGGAGCCGCCCTCCGGCCTCCCTTCCCTTCCCTTCCCTCCCCTCCCCTCCCCTGCGGGCGGGCGGGCTCTCCTCCGGGCGCCAGGCCGCAGGGGCGCTTTTGGGGTGCGGGCACCCGGGCCTCGTCCACCGCCCTCCTCCCTGGATGGCTCTCCGGCTTTTCCCATAGTCCGCTGGCGTCTCCCGAGGGCGCCTCGAGGCCAGCGAGCGCGACACCGCCGAGCCAGGGGTGTACCTGCTACCTGGTAGCGTTGGGACGCTGTGTTTTTGAGGTGCGCTTGCTTGCCATTTGTCGCAGAGGCCCGTCTTCCTCCTGAGAGCCGTTCCCTGCCCTCGGTCATCCTCCTGCAAGAGTTGCCCAGCTACCAGTCCATCCTGCGGCGCAGGGCGTCGGTGAAGGGGGCGCACGACTGGCAGCAGGGCAGCAGTGGCTACACCGGGGAGCACGGCCGGCCCGCGGGGGCGCAGAGCGGGGCCGCTGCGGGCTCGCTGCGAGAGCACCCGTTGAGCATCCCGCAGAAACGGAAACTCAGGTTAGAGCGATTTGTATTTTTTGGAAAGATGGTGTTTTTTGTTTAAGACGACCTTTGCTTTTCTTTTTTGCGCAGGGCATATGCTAAGGCAGGCAGAGATGGAATAGGCATCAAGTCCGTTCGCCAGATCCATTGCCCATGTAGCAAATGGGGCATTGAAAGGAAATGGTCTAGCTTTTTTATGCCAAAATATAGTCAGGGTTCGAATTGCACTTTGAGTCTTGGTGGTGGGGGAGGTCTGCAAAAAAAAATTGGGCCATCCGTCATGATGCCCTAATAACATCGGAGATTCCCCTCCTCCAGGTTATGATTTTCAGATCTTACGGGGGGCTGTCATCTCTTATGGGAGGGCTCAGCCCCCCCGAGCTCCCCCGTCATTTGAACCTTGAATGTAGTGTATGAAAAGCTACATCCTCTGTCAAATGCAAAGGTTATTTTGCGGTCAGATCATTGTTTTCTTTAGCTTTTCCTCCCTCCCATCTCTCTCTCTATATCTGTCTGCCATTTACTTTGGTTATAAGCTCGTTCAGGCAGATCCACCTTTTTTGTAAAGGCCCTGTCAGAGGATGTCTGGGCACTGAGTTGAACAACAGCCTGAGTCACTTTAATGAGATTAATTGGGTGCTGATTCCTGGCCTTGTAGCTTTGGCTAGGAAAATGAAAGTTCAAAGAGTATCTGGCCCTCAACCAATGAGAGTTCAGCTACTGGGAAAACTGGTAGGGGGAAGACCTGGTAGGGGAAAGACCTAGCTTATGTATGTCATGTTGTATGGAGTTTAATCCTGTAGGAAGTCAGGGCGGGGAGGAAGAAACATGACTAGTATGTTGAGTTGACATTATTTTGAAGAAATGAGGCTGAATCTCTGCAAAGAGGGACAGGAGAGTTTGCTGATGTAGGGGCTAGGGAGTTAGTACTAGCCTGCAAGTATCTAACCCCTGGCTCCTGTGTGCTTTGTCAAGATTGTTCATTATGAACAGATTGCGCAACAGCTGCCAACACTGTCTGCTCGGTAAGAGATGCCCAAGAAACTGAATAGTAAACTCCTCAAGCTGTGAATCAAAGTGTCTATGCCTCTATTAACACTGCATCCAGATGCAGCTCTGGTAGTTCTCCTGAGTGCCTGCTGGAAGACTGCATGTTGGGGCTTGTAGTTTCTGTAAACTGAAGTTCTGTGAGAGCAGTTGTAGCTTTATTTGAAGGTGATGTCAACTGCTGCCTGCTCATTTAATACAAATTAGGATTTCTCTCTGCTTTGTACCAAAATACCCACTCAGTACTCCACTGAATAGAATATGGAAATCATACTGGCATAGGGCACATGGCCCATTTGTTCCAGTGCAGCAAACAATGGGTCATTCAGTGGGTCTGCGTGTAGTAATGCACATAAGTATTTGCAAGATCAGGGCCTTTGTTTTCTACTGGTTTGGACTCCTTGTTAATTCTGTGCACTGCCTTTGAGCAATGGTGACAGGATATATTTTAGGGTATTTGCATGAGCTTCTGTGCTACACCCTGATTTTCTTTTCTTTTTTTGGTTGCTTGATTGCCCATCTCTTGTGTATGTATTTACTTAGAAAAAGCCATTGGGTTAAGGAGTGTTCTTTGCTCAAGAGTTCCCAGTACCAGTAACATGAGATTTGCTAGCTATGATGTGATTTTGTTTTTTTTGCAAAGCAGGCTTTCACTTATGATATCAAGCAGTATTCAGTATCTCATGTTACAGGTAAGACTTTTGAGAGTGCTTTTCAATTTTTAAAGCACCCTTACGCTCACACTCTGCTCACATCAGTTGGTTGTATTAAGGCTGAGGTTTCTTAGGCTTTTGGCCAAGACTAAGTGGAATATTCTTTCTACTGGGCAGTACATCTTCTCCTGGGGATTGTATCTTGTACTTGGAGGGGGAAGGACTTGGGTTTCATACAGTTTTTCCCATCTCTAGTTTTTATAGTTCCCATGATCATTTTCCCACTGAGCTTAGACGAGCAGTCCCCACTAGTAATAGACTAGTGAACATACTTGCTCTCTGTCTCTCCAGTGTCCCCTTGTCGAGCTGGTCTGACAAAGCATCGGTGAATAGTTCCATGGAAGCAAATGGGAATTTACTGGATGGATTAGGACCTAAACACAGCGCTTTTTATATTCAAATATGAACAATTAAAGGCAATATTCCCTTGAAACTTTTTATAACTTCATTAATGTAAATATGGGCTGTGTACCTGCAAGCTGAGCAGATAGCAGGTCCATTCATGTGTTTGTTTTTTTGCTAAATAAGATATTTATGGAACATAATAGTCAACTGAGCACCTCTCCATTACAGTTGGAGGTGAGTGTGGGGACATGAAAAACACTATTGAACTTGCATGTTCTTAAATCTTTTTACAAAGAGCGACAATCCTCTGCGACAGATTTTTTTGAAGAGGCTTTTTCTTTTGTGCGTTTTTATAAATTTGCTTTGATTTTTTTTTTGCGCGTTTACTATCTCCTTTGTTTGGAAGAAGAGATCACTTCACCCTCTGAACTACTACCCCCCTGTCCTGTCTCATTTAGTAACCAAATCAGGCATAGCTGAAAATTTAAAAATGTGAGAGTCAGAGGAGAGTGCCTTCCTTGTAGTTTAAGATCTGTGCTTGCTACTGCTTGCGTACACAGTATGAAAAATGATTCCTGTTCTATGGTGCTCTTATTCCACTGTCCCTTCGATATTACTTTGAGTGGTTAATATGGTCCTAGAACCATATTAAGCATATGTGCTACTTTCTAGAGAGAAGCCCTAGAAGAGAGCCCTGATTAATATCTAGATTGGGGAAAGACATAACCAGTAAAGAAACTGGTTTAGCTAAACTGATTTTAAAACTGGGTAGAAATGCTATATTACCCACAACTATAAAGCCTTGTCCTATTTTTACTGTCTCAGTTTCAAGACAGTTTTGCAACAGCACATCAGCTTACTTAAAACCAAGGCCTTGCTAAATGGCTTGATGACATATTTTGTTTGTACTACCATTTTGAAACTGGTTTAGGAAAAACATCAAGTTGCCATTTGTGGTATCATAGAATGCCTTTACACGTACTTCTGGAGTAAGTGCTTTAATTAGAGCAGCTCTGAGACCCACTCTAAATCGCTTGCGGTATGTTGTGTATTCAGCATCCCCATGGCAGCAGGGGCTTCAAAATGGTGGCAGGGGCGCTTTCACTAAAACTTGATAAACGAGCTTTAGTTAAACCGCCTCCACCGCTATTTTGGAGCATAGAGATGCTGAATACACGAGACATGAAGGCTGCTTTAGCACGCTTCAGCAGACTTGATTAATCCGATGCATGATTACAGCATGTTGAAGTAGCGTCCCCAGGCATCTGCAAGCACCCATACTGGGCTTAGCTTGCTTGCAAGCTATATCCTCCATGTAGGCAGACCCATTCATGTTAGAATATGTTCCTCAAGTTATTTGACATGTCCTGTTATAAGGTGCTAGTTATTGTTGGATTGTTGCATGTTTGGTTTATACTTAGTTAATTAAAACCTCTTCTATTCAATAATATTTTGATAGGATTATTCTAATTATTCACTATTTCTGTTGTTCTGGGCTCGCTCTCTACATAATTGAAAGATGGACCCTGTGTTGAGTAATTTTATTTTTAATTTACCTGTTTGCTAGAGACATTCAGCAGGCTAATATAAAATATTTGTCTGGATGGAATCAATGGAAACAGACCAGCAGGAAATCCTGGAAGAAGTTCCTAGAGGAAATCAAGGAGGCGGTATCCTACTTGGAGCTTTGGAGACACGACATCCACAGCATAGAGGGTATTAACCTTTTAATAGTCTCTCTTGCTCTAAATTTGTATTAAGCATACATTATAGTTAGCATATATATTTATATATGTCTCAAAAATATATATAGCTCTGCATGCGTATGTAATTCAGAAAAGAAGATGGCATGCTTGAGAGTTAGTAACATCAGTGATGCCCAGTCAGCTATGGCAAACCTTATTAATTCAAGAGACCAGACGACATAATATCATAAAGTTCATTTCACGGAATTAAAATGTCAGCATCTATTGTCAGTGTAATACCAAAAAAGATGCTATCTTTGAGTGTGCTTTACAGGAGATTACTCATACTTGAACAGTAATCTTATCTATTGTCTAAATAATTAAACCTTGCTTTAAAGATGATTGATAACCTGGACACACATTGTTCTATGTATTTCATCGAACTGGTAACAAATTGCAATTTGTCTGTTTCTTAAAAATAGCTTTACATTTTTGTCTTTTAGAATTCCTTTGTGTTGATTTTTAGTATTTTCAAAACTTGGGTCTTGAACACACAAGCCTGCAGGATAGGTGCTGTGCAGCCCAGATGGCAGCAGTGCAGATGCTCTATAATGTCCTGCTAAGCTACCTTAGTTCTGAGTCCGTCCATGCTGATTTGATCCCTGGTGCCTTTGCTGAGGCAACCAACTACTGGCTATTGTGTCATTTAGTATACATTGCACAACCAGCCAATAGGAACTTGGCAGAGGCATTTGCTTTGCTGGATGTGAGCCTCTGAACAGCTAACCAGTGAAAACAACTTCTAGTCCACTAATGTGGCTGGGTTTTTGAGTGGGTGACCTGGACCTAGTAGCGGTATATCCCATTACTGTTTCCCTGAGTTATTCAGTACCCATGCTGAAGGGATCAATATTGTCCATAAGCTTGAGGTGGTATAACTCTTGCTTTTGCTGCGAGCTGGGGGTAGGTCATCCTCCAGCAGTCTCACCAGCCTTGATTGACATTTTGCTAGCACCTTCTGAATTTGGCCTACTGAAACAGGAAATAACTTGCATTACAAGGGGCTGGACAAGACGGAGTAGGATTGCAAAAGCGGGGTGGAGGGTATGTCTGAGTACACTCCATTCCACATCACTTCCTTACAGCTCTGTAGTGTGTAAACGATGCCAGTGTTTGTTTCCTCCCTGCTGACTCAGAGGGTCATTTCAACAGTGATGTGGCATTGCAGAAAGCAGGTGGCACCTCAGTAGGTGGGTTTGAGTCTGAGTGAAAGGAGTCTAAGATTATATAATTTATTTTGTCCCGGTCAGAAGAAAGAGCTAATTAGATGTCCTTAAATTCTCCTCAGAATTTGGGCCCAAATCTTTGGTTTGTCCCTTCTTGTGTAGGTTGCTGTGATATGTGAGTGCAGTTAACTGTTAAAGCTATAATATTGCTTGAGGTGAGTCATATTTAACACTTACATGAAATCCCTGACTGAGCAGTTAAAAATGTTCTAGATAGTGAAAAGCTTGACTGAGAAAGGGAGGTGACATAGCTAAACTGGAAGGAAATCCCCTTGTGTTGACATACGCCGTGTCTCCACTTAAGAGCACTGCTGATGGAGCTGTGCAGGCACAGGTATAGTGGCAGAAGCACTGTAGTCCAGACAGTGCCAAATGGTATTCCCATTTCAGCTACCTCATTTAAATTCAGAACAAAATATTAACCTTATGGACTTTATCTCAGATTTAGCCCAGTGTAACTGAAATTAGAATCTGGCTCTGTTTGATATCAACAACAACAAAATCACTGTATATATTTTCTCTTCTTTTCAAAGGAAAATTTGGCACTGGCGTCCAGGCTTACTTCTCCTTCCTGCGCTTCCTAGTCATGTTGAATTTTGTAATCTTTGTCCTAATGTTCAGTTTTATTACACTTCCTACCATCATTTCTAAATATGGAGTTTTCAACAGTAGCTATGTTAAGGTTCCTCCAAGAAACATAGGTAAGCATCCCTTTGGTATTCTCTTATTATTTGTCAGAAATTCTGCAAGGGACATCAGTGTTGGTCTGTAAAAGCGCTTATTGTATTTGAGTTTCCTTGCACTCACAGTTAAATGGCTATTTAGTACTTTACTTTTTTTCCTCTTTCTTTTTTTTTGCAGAACCTCAATGCACAATTTATAATCCTGATGGCCCTAAGGGACTTGTTTACTTCTATTCTTACATAATAGATCTGCTCAGTGGTACTGTAAGTAATTAGATTTTCTTCTTTAATCCAGAGTAACACATAGGAAATTCAAATGGGTTTTATTAGAGGATAATTTTTGGTTTTTTTTTTTTTAATTGAGCATGCATATACATCACTAGGGAGGCAGCTTTTCCATCTCTCTATATGACAGATTGAGGTCTGTAAACTGCAGTCTGTTTGGACACACACCGGACGGCAGGGAACAACTACAGGCAGACCTGGACAGGTTGGACAAATGGGCAGAAAACAATAGAATGCAATTTAACAAGGGGAAATGCAAAGTGCTGCACCTAGGGAGGAAAAATGTCCAGCACACCTACTGCCTAGGAAATGACCTGCTTGGTAGCACGGAAGTGGAAAGGGATCTCGGAGTCCTAGTGGACTCCAAGATGAACATGAGTCGGCAGTGTGACAAAGTCATCGGCAAAGCTAACTGCAGTTTATCATGCATCAGCAGACGCATGACGAACAGAACCAAGGAGGTGATACTTCCCCTCTATCGGGCGCTGGTCAGACCGCAGTTGGAGTACTCCCCGTGGCCTTCTCCAGCCTCCACAAGAGAAGGTTGAGAGGCGACCTTGTGGCTGCCTATAAGTTCATCACGGGGGCACAGAAGGGAATTGGTAACGCTTTACTCACCAAGGCGTCCCTGGGGGTTACAAGAAATAATGGCCACAAGGTAGCAGAGAGCAGATTTAGATTGGACATTAGGAAGAACTTCACAGTTCGAGTGGCCAAGGTCTGGAACGGGCTCCCAAGGGAGGTGGTGCTCTCCCCTACCCTGCGGGTCTTCAAGAGGAGGTTAGATAGGCATCTGGCTGGGGTCATCTGAACCCAGCACTCCTTCCTGCCTGTGCAGGGGGTTGGACTCGATGATCTATTGAGGTCACTTCCAGCCCTAACATCTGTGGATCTATGGTTGTGGTCCAGGACACCCGCCTGGTCACAGGGCTATCTCTTTCTGATTCTTATTTTTAGCTGCTACATTGCATGAAAAAAATAACAAAAAAGGGAATTGGAGAATAGGGAGGACTGTGAGCGAACATCTCATGCTGACTGCAGATTGTTACAGCCACTTTGGGACCTGAAGAGGAATGTCTGTTTAACTGTGCTCAGCTCTTGGCAAAGCCAAGTTGACTGTAGCTTGATTTTTTTGATGTTGTTACTAATGTTGTTTTCACTTCAACTTTTCACAGGGTTTCCTAGAATTGACGAGTCTGTTCTATGGATATTATGCAATTGATAGTATAAAGATTGTTGTCATTAAGTACAATGTACCTCTTGCATACTTGTTGACTACATTTGCTTATCTTGCTTTAAGTCTCATCTGGATAGTGAAAAGGTAAAAATGCTGTTGGTATCTTTTTACTATTTGCTTTTGTACAGTTGATACTCTATCCCAGTATACAGAAAACGCACTGAATAATTTTCACACTCATATTGGTATGGAAATGAAGGTTTTGCTAAATCCGTTATAATAATTAATAACTCGTGGTATTTTCCTTCAGATACTTGCTGATTGTAGAGCAAAAGGAATATAAATTCCTTCTATAGGTTGCTTTTGAGGGATTCATTCAGCCATTGATCAATTGAAGCCAAAAAAAAAAAAAAGTCTTTAGGTTCAAGAGAACTAATTAAACTGAATCTTGTCTGGGATAAATAAATCTGGCTTCTGGATCTATGGTCTTGCATATCATGAAGCACATTGGGTGGGTGAAGTTTATGATTATGAGGTATTGTGTCCACAACTGAGCAGTCCTGAGCTGTCAGAATTTCGACTAATATAATGCACTGGAAAGTCGCATGTTTTTTAAATCTCTTTAAAAAGAGTTTGTGCCAGTAAAGGGAGGTAAAGCTGGCAGAGAGCTTCTGGGACACAAATATACTTTTGGAAATGTGCGGCTGCTAAGACTTACAGGAACTTTGAAGTCCCTTTTTGAGCTACTTAATGGTTCAGAATTATATTAACTTCAAGTTATATTTTTCCTCATGAGACCTTTGAGGTTTGATACTATTTTGTACCGGAGCTCAGATGATAAAATAGAAAAGATTAGTTTTTCCTGAGCAACACATTTTGCATGCGTGCATGCATGCATATTTGTTGATTAGTAAAGACTGTGTTTTATTGCTAAGTAGATTTTTGAAAGGATAAAAAGATCAAGTGATGAAATCTTAGTTCCTCTGTGCTTTTTCGGGGGGTGGGGAATAAATAAGACTTCGAATGGATGAAATCCTGTAACATCTTTCCTAGGTCTGTGGAAGGATTTAAACAAAACTTGGTGCGTGATGAAGATCAGTTTCAGAGTTACTGTAACAAAATCTTTGCAGGCTGGGACTTCTGCATTACAGATCTGAATGCTGCCCGGCTAAAGCATAGTAGTTTACAGTATGAGTTAAAAGTGAGTAACTTCCATTTTTGTTAGCACAGCTTGCTGTGTGTTGTGATGGTTAGGAAGAGGCACAAGACTTTGCACTTAAATAGGATAGGAAGGGAAGAACCTGCATCCTTTTACATGGTCGTCTGAACTAGCAGGCAGCCTGGGGCAAGCTTAGGACATGTACGGAGCCGTCCCCTACCACCAATGCCCAACTTCAGCTCCTGCTATTGCTTCTCTTAGTTATGTTTTCTGTGCTCCTCTCTGAATTTCCTAACAGAAAAAGCCATTGCAGGTTGGGCTGTAAGGTTGCAACATTGTAAGACATCACAGAGTAAAGCTTGCATGAAGATTATAGATGAATTGCAACATCATTGCTTTAAAAAAAAGTCCTGAGCTTTCAATTGGGTATTTCAGTGGCCTGTACACATGTTTGAATCATATTTTCTGAACAAGACATCCAGAGGGGTTTCCAACAGGACAAGGGGCTTTTAGCCCCCTGGGAACCTGATATATGGCATTTCTAGTGAAAGCCATACCTACTGTCTGCCCTCCACATGAGCTTGCTGCCTGATGTGTCTGGCAAAACGATGAACTTTGTGGAGAGACCTGCCCATTGCGCTTCTCCCTTTTGGCTCATCTTGTATATTGAAGTAGAAAGGTTTGGTAAAATCAGGATTGTCCAACTAGTTGTCCATGAGAGGGGTTAACCTGCAGCCTCAGGCTCCTACATGGTCACTGCTCCCCCCCATTGTTCCAGCTGTTATGATGGGGGGATCTTGCCGCCTCCTCTCTCTCTTGACTTTTGCTTCCTGACCCCCTCCTGGGGTAGGGGTCTGTACTTAGTCTGCGCACAGCCAGGGGAGGCAGAGCCAGGCTGTATGCCTGGCTGGAAGGACCCCAGGAGACTGCCCCCCTCTCCAAGGTATGTGAGGGGGTATGTGCAGCCTCACCCCACCACCACCACCCAAGTTGGACAGCCCTGCTATAAGCAAGAGTTATGGCCTCTGCATCACAAAATACAAGACTTGTCTTTTTTTCCCCTTCCCATAAAGCCTTTATTCATATGGTACCAGGACCCCCATCAGTTAATCCTAATTGGAGAGTCTAAAATGGCACCAGCTGGGTTACAACTCAGTTGCTGTGTCTACATTGCAGATTGCAGCGCAGTATAGAGACACCAGTTTGGGTTTTAAACTAGCTATTTTGGGTGCCAGAAGCTCAGCTAAACCGCTCCTCAGTTTAGGATAAAGCTAGCTCAGGTCTTCGGTACAGATCCAAGTAAAGCTTCCTGCTGGAGATTGAATTTCTAGTGAAAGTCTGCAGTCTAATCTCAGGTAAGCAGGGTGCAGGTCAGGTGTCCTTGAATGCTATTCCACATGTGTCAGCAGACCACATACTACAGTAAGCACCAGCCCTGTGTTTGCTTCCCAAATCCCATATCTTAAATAAAATGAGCAGAGAGATGGGATTTCTTCCCCAGGGGTAATCCTGTCGGCTCTGGAGGGGGAGTCAATTTAATGGCATGATGGTGCCCCTCTGCTGTATTTGATCGGGGGATGAAAAATTAACTTTGCTAAGGTCACCGGCCTTAAAAACCTTTGCAGTTTTCATATGTTACATTCACTTATAATTCTTCCTAATTACAGTGAGTTCTTATTTTATATGTTCAGCTATGATCATAAGTCCTGTTAATGATAAGGAATGTTGAACATTATTATTATATTTTTTTCATTATGCAGCCAAAAAATTTGCTGCGGCTTTTGTAGAACAAACAGAAACCCAGGTTATGGACTCGAAATGAAACCCTGGTTGTTGACCCAAACTTTGTACTAGCTAATTAGTTTATGTGATAGACGTGAGGGAGTGTTTTTTCAGTTAGCACGTTAGAATCCCCAGGACAGGTCACAAGGCACTGCCAATATGAATATAATTTGAAGTGGAGACAGCTGTGCTCTCCACCCCCCTCCCCTTCCTGCCTCTTCCCTCCCCTCCCCCTTTGAAATCAAGTATTCGCTGTCGGACCCTTAAAGTACACACAAACACATGCTCTTATTGCTGTTGTTGATGTGTTTTATTGCCCTGACAGTGAATATAAGGGGAGAGCAAAAATTTCTGCTTTGGAATAAAGGTTTGTCAACCTGGAAAGACCAGGAAACACTGGTTTATGGAGAGTTGCATTGAAACCAATTAAAAGACTCCTGCCTCATTAAAGTTTGAACCAGGCCGCAAATGTATATGTTCTTAGGATAAGATAGACAGTATATGCACATCTTTGTCTCAGTCAGAAGTTCCAGGTATAGGTGACGCATACACAGTTTGTTTTGCATTGTTCAACCTCACATTGAGTTTTCTTTTGTTTGTAGACAGACTTGGAGGAAGAAAGACTAAGGCAAAAAATAGCTGAAAGGACAACGCAAGAAAAGCTGCGCATCTACTGTCTGAGAATATTTTTAAACATCATAGTCCTCGGGGTTTTGTTAGGATGCTTTTACTCTATCTATAGCGCAACTGTCTTCTCACAAGAACTTATTTCCAGTGTAGGTATCAGAGTGACAATTAGACCAAATCTTGATAGCACAAACACCCACAATGGAATGAAGTATTTGGTATAACAGCACTTCGTTTTTGAACATCCTTCCATGCAAACTGGCTGGATCCCAAAACATTCATTAGTTAACTAATTACCTTTAAATGGGAAAAGCAGTTGAGAGGTGCTGCAGAAGGAGAAAAATGGTCATTTCAACTGGGACCTAAAATGAGAGGATGTGAAGACATGGGAAGGTTGTTCGAATGGTGGGAACTTCATGTAGAAGAGCAAGTTTTTGTATCAGCAGTCTCCAGAATATTTTCTGGCAGGACACAGAGGAAGTGTGGAATTTCAGAGATACACTGCAGGGAGGCTTCCCTTTTTTAAGCCAGCAGCAACTGGGAAGTCTCTAAAGAAACACCCCACTGGGGCAGAGGAAGCAACTGTGATAAGATGATAGTGCTAGAAAAAAGAGGAGGAGGTGGCAGGACAGAGGATCTCTGTGTGTGTGATATACAGTGAGTGAAGTTCTGGCACCCTGCAAATCAGCTGGGGCAGCCCAAAATTGGGCAGGTCAGGGGAATTGCTGCAGGCAGGAGTGGGAATTAACAGGTGCTATCATGCCTTTATTAAACTCTAACAAAAGCTGCCAGTGGTATTTTGCATGTACTTGGAACCTGCTTCTCTTGGGAACTGTAAATGAAGTGGCGTGCCTGTATGGATGGAGATATTGGAAGGGATGGAGAAATGCAGTTTTGTCAGTAAAAGCCTATTTGCACTTCTGGGAGACTGGGGTGGAGAATGGGAGACTGGAATGAAAGTTGATGCCAGATAGTGCTGGATGACTGGAGCTGAGGGGAGCCAGCAGAGAACAGAACCAGAGAAATGTGTATGTCTGAGACATTTCCTCTCTTTTCTGCAGGACAATGACAGCACTGCTGAAGATAACCTCCTGGTGCAATATCTCCCTTCCATAGTGATTACCCTGGCCAACTTTATTGCTCCTCAGATCTTTGCAGTTATAATTGGACTAGAGGACTATTCCCCAGCCTTTGAAATCAGGCTGACATTGATGCGGTAAGCGCACTAATGCCATAAATATTTTGGGCATTGCCGTGGCAGCTGGGCTTGTTCTTCATAGACTAGAAACATCCCCAAACTAGGGAGCACAGATTTGCTTCCCAGCAAGAGGGTCTAGTTTGGCAGGGAGCAGCCAGAATTGCTTGATTTCAAACAATCCACCACTCTGTTTGACAATGTCAGGATAATGTAGTTGCTCCTCTAGTTGTGTTTGTGTTTATGTGGTTTCAGTGCTTACCCTGATCTAACTTGGGTGATGGGGAGGGGAAGGGGAAAAAATAAAATCGCATGACACTTCTCAGCAGTGGAGTATAGATGTTTACAGTGTCCACCCATAAAGCACCAGTTCTGGGTCAGCAACAGTGTATGTTGTCAGCAGCTCTACTCATATTACCGCCCTGCACTGAGAAGGGTAGGAGGAGGACCCCACAAGAAGTTAAGGTTAAGTGGTCTGTCCATAAGATAATGTAAGATAAGAAATGGCAAAGAACTGAGTCAGTGGCATAAGGCAATAAGAGAGAAGTAGCCAGGACTCTTGCTGTCCCAAAGTTCAGGCCTTATGGAGCACTTGTATGTAAAGGACCTCCTCCAATCCCTCATCATGGTGAAAAGACTCCTAGGGACTCCAGGCCCTAAAACTGTGACCTTACTCATTGCTTGGAGCTCAGGGTTCTCTCATTCCACCAGGTGTGTCTTCGTACGGCTGGCCAACATTGGAGTGCTCCTGTTTTCCCTGGGGACACAAATCTCATCCTGTGCTACTGCAAAGTGCAAGGCCTGTGGATACAATTACGAGCTGTACCCTGTAAGCACACTTAACGTTTGTGTTTAAGCAATCTGAGCTGCCAAATAAGCTAGGAGAATGTTTGCATGTCAGGTATTCAGAGTTGATGTTCACTTTAAGACATGCTTGTTTTAATATCCTCCTGGAGAGGCACTAGTTTGTTTGCTGTCTGTCTCCCGCATGAGGTGGGATTTGATCCTCTTCTCCCAGATCTTTACTAGGCTCTGAATTAGGCCTTGGGTTGCTGTACACATTTGGGGCCAGACTGTAATCAGAGCAGTAGTACAACAGGAAATATTAAAGTTCTTAAACCTATGTGCATCTGTTAGGGCAAAACCCTGATTGTATTCAGGCCAATAAGATGGATCCTGCACAGAAGATCAACTGGAATGGAACTATAGCACCTTATACTAACTTTTAAAATAATCAGTGGCCATAAGGCAGCTGGAGAGAAAAGCATTTTATAAATATCAATGGATAGAATTTAACTGTTATGTCAGTAGTAGACTTTGAAGTTGGTTGGTTGTTGTGCTTGACGGATTTATTTTGTAGTTACAGTTTAAGTTCTTTAACTTTGTTTTTCCTGTTTGCTTTTATAGTGCTGGGAGTCTCGAGTTGGGCAGGAGATGTATAAACTGATGATTTTTGATTTCCTTATCATTTTTGCTGTGACAGTCTTTGTTGATTTTCCTAGAAAGTAAGTATCAGCATGTATTGAGTGTTCCTTTTGCATCTTTCTAACCAGGTTTCCAGTTAGAAGCAACTTAATGGCTGGACAAATTACCTAAACAGTTGTCTATGTGATTCTTGTTTCTTCAGCCTTATTCGCATTTTAAGATTTGTTTAATGCTTAACGTACAAAAGCCTTAAATGAACTCAGTATATATTATTGATGTTCTGGGGGTTGTTAGTTTTATGATTTGAATTTGGAACTTATGCTTTATTTTGTGTGATGTCTTTTTAGGTTGATAGTTACCTACTGCTCTGCAAGGGCATTTCAGTGGTGCGGGCTTCAGGAGTTCAGGATCCCGGAGAATGTGCTGGAAATTATTTATGGGCAGACGATCTGCTGGATTGGAACCTTTTATTCACCCCTTCTTCCTGCAATAGCAACTCTCAAATATTTTATTGTCTTCTATATAAAAAAGGTAGAGAAGGATTGTGGTAAATAAGATAAAGTGCATAGATCTCTGTAGCCTTTGTACTTAAACAACCTACAAATGCTATTGATTTTAGCAGACACTGAAGGTACAGCTTACTGGAAATGAGATAATATGACCCCAAGTTCTGGGTAGCTTTGTGCTTTAAAAAAGTAGGTATTTAACTTTGAAAGGATCAAGAAAATGCCATGTTTAATGGTCTGCTCATCAATTATTTGTTCATTTGATAAGAAAAACTTGCTGTGTGGTAAAGTTACTGTACAACACTTTCTCACCATAGTTTATTTACCAGCATCAGAGTTGAGAGACTGCTCTCTATTCAGTTCAGTCCTAAACAATGAAAATCTAAGGTGTTGCTCATTTCCCTGGCTCTTGTGTATCATAAACTTGGAATCTGTCCTGACAGTTCCTTTTGTGCAGTTAGTCCCTGCTGGCAAACTTCTTAGCAAACTTTATTAGTTTGCTAAAGTGAACATGATGAGTGAGGGTTTAGAACAGGGGTAGGCAATGTTTTTTGGCTAGAGTGCTGAAAAACACCACAATGTCTACCTTGGAAGGTGCCGGAGTGCTGGCATGCCAGAAAAACAAAATGAGGGCAGGGGGTACATGGCAGGATGCCCGGCTTCTGCCCCGGCCTCCCAGCCCGGACTTTGTGGCTGTCAGCAGCTACCCTGACTCTGGGTAGCTGCTGGAGCCAGGGCTGCTCTCAGCAGGGCTTGCAGCATCTCAGCTGCCTCCTGGGAGCAGCCCGGGCTCCTAGCTGGCAGCAGCTACCCAGAGCTGGGGCCGGCTGCAGCTGGGAGGTTGCGAACAGCTGTGCTGAGCTCCAGAGCCCCCTCTGTATCGGCGCGTGCACACGTGCCTCTGAGTGGGCAGTGGGGGAGGGGCCTGAGGCAGCGCAACCCCGGTCTCTCCCCCACTCCCGGCACAGAGCTGGTGACTAGGCTCTGGAGCCCAGCACAGCTGTTTGCAGCCTCCTGGCCTGGGTGCGTGGGGCCCCAGCTCTGGGTAGCTGCTACCAGCCGGGAGTCCAGGCTGCTCCCAGCAGGCAGCTGGGATGCTCCAAGCCCTGCTGGGAACAGCCCGGGCTCCATCGCTGGCAGCAGCTATCCAGAGCTGGGGCTAGCCGTGGTGTGCTGAGCAAAATGGCCTCGCGTGCCATGCTTGGCACGTGTGCCGACCCCTGGTTTAGAAATTAACAGTGAAGGCCCCAGTCCTGGAACGTGCTCCGTCTGGGCAGACATCACTACCCTTACAAGTGCTGTACATAGACATAAAGACGCACCACTTCTGTAGGACCTTGGCTCTAAGGACAACTGTAGGGAAAATTTCCTGGAGGTGTACGTCCAAGCAGAGCAAGGCAGTGACATGCAGTTAGCTGAGCTACTTCTGTTCATGCTGACACCCACCAGGAGAAGGGTTACTGCAGTGTTGCACTGGGGCTAATATTCTTGATGACAAACAGTGCTGGTGAACTCATCTGTATGTTTCCATCTTTGAAGCTGGTGCTGGGAATGTATCTGGGGGTGGAGGTAGGATAGAATGATAGCTATTGCAATAGGAAAAACCACTGACACTTCAGGGGGTTTATATTTCTCTTCCTTCTTCTCCAGATAAGTTTGATGCATACATGTAAACCTTCAACAAGGCCTTTCAGAGCATCTAGTTCTCACTTTTTCTTCCTGTTGGTGCTGTTGATTGGGCTCATGCTGGCTTTTATCCCCTTGGGACTCAGCATGGCTCAGTAAGTGATGATTTCATATTTATAAAGTTTTATTTTATTTATTTATTTGCTTGCTTGAAATTTGTTGAAGGGTGGACTCATTTTTAAATGATACATTAGAAGAAAATACACCTACATACAATGCAAAAGGAAATAAATACTTATTGACAATGAGCTTTTCTGTTTTCAAAAATGCATTGTAATTCAAACCAAAGGAACTTATGTGCTCAGTAAGACTGGGTTTTTACGTTGATGCAGCTAGCAATGAGAGGGTCCAGAGGAGGGCCACTTGCATGGTCAAGGGGCACCAGGGCAGGCCTTATGAGGAGAGGCTGAAGGGCCTAAACCTATTCAGCCTCCACAAGAGAAGGCTGAGAGGGGATCTGGTGGCCATTGACAAACTCACCGGGGGGACCAGCAAGAATTGGGGGAGGCTCTGTTCCCCCGGGCACCACCCGGGGTTACTAGGAATAATGGCCACAAATTGTTAGAGAGAAGGTTCAGGCTGGACATCACTTTACAGTTAGGGCTGCCAGGCTCTGGAATGGGCTCCCAAGGGAGGTAGTGCTCTTTCCTACCTTGGGGGCCTTCAAGAGGAGGCTGGACAGACATTTGGCTGGGGAAATATGACTGCGGCACTTGTTCCTGCCTGGGTCGGACCTGATGGTCTGTTTAGGTCCCTTCCAGCCCTAAGCACTATGAAACTATAAACTATGAAACTATTGCCTCTTTGTTTTTCAGTACAGCCTCTCTCTTCTGTTTGGATTTTTTAACAGGATCCCCTCCTCTAAAGCATGTGGGCCATTTATTAATTTCAATACTTCGTGGGCTGTTATTCCAGATACAGTAGATGGACTTCCAACAGGACTTCAGAAGTTCCTTTATGGGATAGCATCAGAAGCCTTTGCAGTGCCTTTCTTCATAGTTATGTGGTGAGTGCTGCGGAGAGCTGTTTTGGCCTGCAACTTTGGTTTCATCCATGCAGTTGTGCAGTTCAGTTCTCTATGTAATGTGTAAGTCCAGTTTTATTTGGCAGTCTCCTCACCTGGTAAAAGACCTGTAATAGAGGAGTTTATCTTCATTAACTGTTACGCAAGTATAACAGGGAGCTAGGAGCTTTCTGCTCCTGGATGCCAACTTAACTGCCAGCCATTTTGCACACTGGCATGGCAGGCACAGATGCTTTCTTCCTCAAAAACTGCACTTGTGTAAACTTCACCAGTTTAAGGAACTGAGTTTACAAGGCTGCTACTTGACCCAAGTTTCCAGACAGACCAGTCCAAAACATAAGTTTTCAGTTTATCTTGCTATTTTAATTGATCTTCAGAAGCTTATTCACAGAGGCTTTTTGTGGCTTTTATGCTTGAGAAACCATGTGGTACATGCAACTGTCTGTCTGAAAGACCCTACTCTGGAAAGGGACCTACTTCACAAAGCACTTAAAACATAAGGTTGAAGTGCTTCCCTGTGTTGGCATTGTAACTAAGTAATCAGGAACTTTTCTTATCTTTCCTCCTCTCAGTTTCCCCTTAGCATTTTTCTGAAATAAATGGTCATCTGTGCCAGATGTTTGTTGATATTGAGTTTTGAATTCTTGGGAAGGGGCCACCATGACAGTTCTCTGATAAGCCAGTAAGCATCTGCAGCACCTGTTTCCCTACTACCTCCTGTTATTTCTCAGACAGTGAGTCTTATTCTGAGTCAGACTTACATGGGGTGCATCTCTAGTAAGACTTCTGAAATTAATTTGAAATTGATGTGACTACAAATTAAGGGTTAAAAACTGCACTTAAGGCAAAGTTACTTTGGGACGGCTCCTAGCTGACATTGACCTTCTCTGGGAGCCTCCCTTCAGGGCAGTGGGGGAGCTGATGGTCCTGAGAGGGGTCAGAGGACATGACCTTCTAACCCCATAGATCTCAGAGCAGTCTGCAAGAGGCTTTGCCCCTTTCATTTTGTTGCCTCCTGAGTCTCACCTGCCTATACCAATCTTTCAGCAATCCTTTGTCTACAGACCATCTCAGCCATGGCTGTGCCCTGCGCATCCCAGCTGCATGTTGATTCTTCAGCAGTCCTTCTACCTGAAGTAACTGCACCAAGCCACCAACACTTTTCTCTGTTTCACACTATATACAAGTCCTGAAAAGTTCTTTATGAATTTTAACATGTGTAGGATAGTAACATGCTGGTTTCCTGTTGTTTGCAGCCTCATGATGTTCTATTTCATTGCCTTGGCTGAAGCGCATAAACGGGTTGTTAATCAACTCAAGGAACAACTGGTTATGGTAAGATCTGATAACGTGTCTTTATTTCGCCCACCCCAACTTTTTCCGCTATGTTGCACTAGAGTGCAGTCAGGTGTGAAAAGGAACAAAGTGTTTTGTATGAATAACAGGGTCCCTTCACAGGGAGACAGTTCTAGGCACTGAAAGTCTCTTTAAACTAGCCAGGGAAAGGCCTAACAAGAATCCCAATGGCTGGGAGTTAAAACCAGACAAATTCAAATTAGAAATAAGGCAGAAGTTTTGAACAACACTGGAACACATTTATCAGGGAAGTGGTAGATTCTCCATCTTTTGACGCTTTCATGGTAGGATGTCTTTTAGGAGGGTACACATTAACCAAACACCAGTCACTGTGTACAAGACAGGGATAACTGAACGAAATTATTCCCTGTCTGGGGCTATGCAGGAGTTCAGACTGGCTAATCTAATTTTTTTTCTCCAAAAAGGTTTATGTTGGTGAGTTTAAGTAAATTCCATTGCTGTATATACTACAGTGACTAAAACCGTTCCCCATGTATAGTCTGTATGTATGGTTTATTGGGATGTCTGTGTCCAAATCCATGTCTACAAATATGGTCCACTGCCATGTATTATTAAATCATGCACTTATATTACGCAAGTGAGTTGTGGGCTGGTTACATTAGGAATGACTGATTTGAGAAACTACTGTGCATAAGGCTAAGCTGTCCTAGCTGGAATCAATGCCTATTAAGCTCTAAGGATGGACTCCAACACTTGCTATTTAAGGCTGCTTACAGGTGTAAAAAACCCCCAAACAGGTGCTTTAATTTAAACTCTGCGCACTCCTGTGCTGAGCCCAGTACATGCCCAGAAGAGATATTGTGTTAATTGGACCTGGCTTGCCCAACGTTTGTATAGATCAGGTACTTCAGTGGTGCTTTTAGCTAATAGCTGATCGAATCAATTTTAGATGAAAGGGCCAAAAAGCCCACCTGTGCAGCGGGGCTGTAGCACTCAATTTATACAGACACCACAGAGCTGGGTCAAACCAGCAGGCTGCTGCTTCCAGTAAAGCTTTCTTCCTCTCCCCCCCCCGTCAGCAGCCTAAATGTAATAGGGGAGAGAAGGTTATGTTTGTTAACATATATTGGAGATGAGATTTTTAAAAGTAGTGACTGAGAAGCACAAGTGCCTTTGAAAATGAAGGTATTTTGCTCCTAATTCACTTGGGATATGAACACATTATCATAAGTTAAAAGGGGATGGGGGTCTACTGTGTGCCAGCTGCACCATGGTAACTCTCCATCTCTAGCCCAGTTGGGGCCAACCATTTTGGCAGGTGTGCCATAGATAAGTCCGCTTCCCCAAATGCCACTCTTATCACCTTCCTCTGCCCACTCTGCTCTGCTTTTTCCACCCAGCCCTGTGCTCCCTGCCCAATTTGCTGCTCTGCTTTCTGCTTCTTCCCTGTGCTTCCTGCCCGATTTTTTGCTTCTTTGCTTTCTGCTTCCTTCCCTTCCTGCCATTTTGCTGCCAGCCCCCTCCCCAGTCTGCTGCATGCTGTGCACACAGGCTAC